CGTAGAGGAATCTTCCCTAAGAGAAAAGAAAAACTTAAAGACCTTTCTACAAATCCATACCAAGCCAAAAAGCCTCTCCAAGACCTCAAATATAAGACCTAACCTGAGTAATTACTATATCCAAGTAGAAAAAGTGGCTCACCTGATGAGTCAGTCCAACACTGACCACCTCTGGCTGACGCAGGAACTGGGGAATCCAGTCCAATCACGAGGTACGAGCTCCCTCAAGGATGCCTTCTGGGAAGGCGCTTGTCCCTGCAGCCTTCAGGCCTCTCAGCTGCAGTAAAACTCCCAAAAAGTGAACTCTACTTTTTCCTTCCTGGGCTGGCCGGGATAGCAGCAGTTTCCTTTTGTCCTTGAAAAAGCTTTCAACTGACCTGTCAGAGAGTTCACTGTAGGCCCCTCATACAGAAGCATTATTTTAAAAGAAGGATGAAAACACAAGACTTATTTAATTATAATCATGTGCATTTTTTAGATAGATATTTCCATCACATAGTTCAAATTTCAAAAAATACACAAGTATATACAGGTCAGTAAAATATCCCTCCTAATAATCCCACTAACCCAGCCACCCGATCTGCTTCCCAGAGGCAAACAACTTCATTGTTTTTTTTTTTACTTCCGTCCAAAAATATTTTATGTATAATCAAAAAAATTATAAGTGCATATTTCCTTTTGCTCACTTTTAAATATATAATCCTTGGTTTGTATCTTGCTTTATTCACTTAACAATATATCTTGGAGATTATTCTCTACATTTTCAAGAACATTCCGTACCAGGTCATAGAGAGCTTTCTCGGTCTTTATGTGTACTCTATTGAAGAATTTTCATAGTTGAACCAGTCCTCCACTGGCCGACATTTGGTTTGTTTCCATAATTTGCTGTTACACATGGTGCTACAAGATAAAGTTGTGTACTTAGATCATTTCATACACACGGGAAAGTACCTGGAGGCCAAAATGCTAGGAGTGAACGTACTAAGTCAAAAGGTAAATGCATAAAGTTTTGATAAGCATTACAGATTTTTCTCCTTGGAAAACTTCTACTTGTAATACATAACAGTTTTGTTCCATAAGGGTATTGTCAAACTGTAGGACTTTTTTATATTTTGCCAACTTGATATATAAAAAATAGGTCTCAGTATAGTTTCAAATTGCATTTTTTTCTTATATGTGAGACTGATCATCTTTTCATATACAAAAAAGCTATTTGTATTCATTCTCTGTAAACTACCTTCAGATCTTTCCCCTGATTTTTACTAGCTTATTCATGTTCTCTTTATTGATATGTAGTGTCCTTAGTCTTCTTCATTTATTAGAAAAAATTAACCCCTTCCAATATGAGTTGTAGTTTATTTTTTAAGTTTTCATTTGTCTGTTGCTTTTGATAATTATAAAATTGATATTTAGAAGGCTTATTTTGCTTCAAGATTTTATATGTATGTGAGGCTTATTCTGCTTCAAGATTTTATATGTGTGTATGTATGTGTATAAACACAGAATATATTACAAATATACTGCTATATATATATACTATTAATAATATATATAATATTCCTTGGTTTCTTGCAGTAATTTCATGGATTTGGGTTTTTCTAACATTTAAATTTTTGATCCATTTAGAATATATTCTGGCATAAAACATGAACTCACTTCTATTTTCTCCCCAATAGAAACCTAGTAGTTCCAACCCAAATTCACTTTTTAAAAATCTTCTCTACATTTGATTACTTTTGACAAAATATTATGAATGTTTCCAGTTCTTGTAGAATCTTTCTACCCACCATCATGGCATAGTTTCAGGATTTATCATTCACACCAAACTCTGAAAGACTCTAGATCCAATTTCTAGGAGGTGAATTTAAATCTGAACTGGTCAGTTGAAAGCTTTGCTTTGGAATATTTACATAAAAAATCTTGGATATGTCAGTTTGATTTTCATCCATCATTTGATTTCAATAGCCACACAAACTTATGTTGAATGTTCATGTGTAATTGCATCCATTCTGAAATGCAGCTTTTAGACTATATTTCTGTGTATGTTTGTATGCAAGGTGCTCTGGCTGCCTGACACAATAAGGTGTATAAAGACATTTCAGACATAACCCCAGCTCCTTCAAGGCACTTGCCATCTAGCATAAGGATACAAGTAGACCAATAACTATGATAAAAAGTAGAGATGATATGTCTCAAACTACAAAGCATGTAGACCATTGAAGAAGGGTTCACAAGTGTTTGAGAGGGAGTTAGAAAGGAAGGATTCAAAGAGAAGGTAACATTTGAAATCCTTTGTAAGAGATTGAGAGTGATGGAACAAGCCATCCATGTGCAATTTACAAAGGTGGGAGGAATGTTTTCCAGCAGTGAGCAGTCCTGCTTGATTGGAGGGCAGACACTGTGGGAGACGAGAGGGAGACAGGAAAGTGGAAATGGAAACTAGGGCCTGAGCCCTAAAGTCCTGGGCAGTGGAGTTTGCAGGTAGTGAGATGGGGGGTGGGGGAGGGAGACATGATCCAAGCTCCTCTTTGTGAAAGCCAGTGTGAAAAACATGAGAATATTTGTAGGAATTAGAGTCTGTGCATGAGGTTTTCAGGAAGTTGACATTCCTTGGCCACTGGGATACAATGAAGACAGAGTCTTGCCCTCTAAGAGGGATCTGCTTTTTGGTGTGTGCTTGTGTATATGGGATAGGTGGTGGGTAGCACAGGGCTGGTTAATGAAACTGAGGCTAGGGCCCCCTCCCCAGAATATGGAATTCGCTAGTATCATAGTACCAAAACAAAAATGAAACAAAACAAAAATGAAAAGAGCAATCGATGGATTTGGTTTTTCCTACTTGATTTTGGTGACTCATAAAGCAAGGCAAGAACACCATACCAAAGCCAGGGTGTCCTGCCATCCTGTCAGGCGGTACTGGCAGGAGCAGTTGCTTGAGGGGACACTCGGAATCAGTCTTGTCTCCCTGAACCTGCCTTGGGAAGAGGATAGATGAGAATGTGGACTGGCCTTGATGTAGAGACAGGATATTTGATATTTTTACCTCAGATTCCTGCCTCGCTCATCTTTTCCCTAAACCTTCTGAATAAGAAACCCAAATATTTTATGATTTATTTTCATTTTTTTAAGTTGAGACATAAATGATAATACATCACCGTCTAATCAGCTTCTCTGAAGTTGGCATAATCAAGGGATGGTGGCAGGAGGACGGGGTGGAAGGCTGAGCTGGATGACACTACTACCCTGCTCGGTGCTCACAGGCCTTCCCTTCCTCCTGCAAGCTCCAATTTGTAACTATGCCTCTTTTATCCATGACAACCGCAGGAAACACTAATCATGCCCCTTTTGGTGCTGTAACCCCCAAAAGTTAAAGATGACATTTTAATTTAGTGCACAGGCATATAAATTCATTTATTTTCAATTGCTGTAGCTGGCTTGGCCTTTCTGGGAGGATGGAGACATACAATAGCAAATCCCTTTGAGCACAGTAGCATCTAGGCAGCCTTAGTAACAGTGAGGCTGGGGCTCCCACTTCTAAGCAGTCCATGAGGACATTACATTTCCCTTTTCACTATAGTGCCTACTAGAATATCATCTTGGACAAAATATACAAATAAATATGTAAAGAAGAAAATGAAGGCTATAATTTTAAGAATAAGGGAGGCTTATCAGGAAAGTAGGTGATTAAGAAATATGACTTTGAAACTTCCATTAGCACAATTGATGGACTTAGAAAGGGTCACATGAATAATGCTTGTGTTACCACATTTTTTACCTCTCCTTGTATACAAACCTACAATTACAAAATCATTTTGGTACAATGCCAGCCAGTGATTTTTGATCAAGAGGATTTTAAAAAGATGAGGAATGGCTTTAGGTAAGGAAAAGGATCTACCTAGAGAATAAGGGGAAGGTATGAGTAATGCCAAATAAATTCTTATGCATGAGAGGCATTGTATCTGTAGCATATGACATGGTAATCTGTAGATGGAAAGACTTTATATCAGAATCAAGTCAAAGAAGAACAGATTTTGTGATCATCATTGAGCCCTTTGAAGTAGGTGACTGAAGTCCACCATAAATTGTGCTTGCATTGCCTTTCAAAGATCCCGGTTACTCTCTCCAAGACACTCGGGAATCATTTGGGGGCTGTCAGGCATAAAGATGGTGGGATGGATTAATTGAACTCTCAAGGTCCTTTATGATAATTTTGAAAATAGGAATTACAATAGCATTCTATATATTAACTATGCCATGGTGCTCAATATTATAAATTACATAACAGGCCTCCCAATAAAATCTGAAGAGATTTTCTGTTAAGACACTGCTTTACAGATCCCATAGGATATACTGTCATGCAGTTAGTCAGATTTGTACTTTCATAGGACTAATGATCTATATGTCTTGTGTGATTTTTATTTTCCCAACGCCCTCTCATCTCTTCATCACAAAACAAAGCCCTTACACCTTTCTGTCAATTTTGGTCCATTGAACATTTGAGAAGGGTGTATTTTTTTCCCTTCCATCTTGGTAAAAATATCAATACTTTTAATTTGATAAGTTCCAATTTTTGGGGGTGTGAAGCAAGGGATTTTTAAAGACTGCTGCTTTCTGAGACTTGATAGAACACCAGAATTTGTTCAGACAGGTTAGTTTTGAGTGACCCCTGAGTGCAGAGGAAAGGGATTGGGAAGATCACACAGTATAATAGAAATGGAGAAAGATTAGTTAGCAAGTAAATGCAGGAATCCACTGATGAGACATGTGATGAGAAGACACCAGGAGCATCAAGAAGTCGGTCACGAGACAGGCTGATTGGGGAAGGGCTGGAAATAGTGGCAGATCCCATCGTATGTTAATCAGCTTGAGTTTTCCTCACGATCATGACTTTTGGGTTGCCTCAAGAGCTAAAGATGTTTCTTTGCTTACACAGTGACAAGAGGCCAGGGTGAGGAGGAGACGGAGAATGCAGACATCCACATGTCAGTAACCATCATTTACAGAGCATGTGGTAAGTGCCAGGCCCCTGATAAGCTTGTGCAAGCTGAATGTTATTTAATATTGACCACAGCCCTGAGGTGGTACTGTTGTCACTTAACATCCCACAGATGAACTAACTGAACCTTAGACAAGTTAGGTAGTGCCCCAAATTTCATATCCATAGAGTGGTTCCTCTATGACTAGAAATCTCTTAATTCTTATGCTGTACATCTAAGAGAGTGCTTTCATTAAGCTAAATTCTTACAGAGTTGGAGCCAAAGCAGTGCCACTTGCAAATCCAGGCTGAAGTATTTCTGCAGGAAGCAAAGAATAGTGGTCCAGTTCTGTGCATCATCCTGTCTTTGAGAGCTTCTGCTTGCCATCAACTATGAAGGCGCATACAATGAGCTGAGCATCTTCCATGTGCACCCTTGCTTTGAAACGTAGAGATGTGTGGTCTAAAGCAATTGCAAGAGAGCTAGGAATTAAAAAAAAAATGTCAGCAGTTTTGAGACAAAAAAAGGAAGAGGTTATGAAGAAAACTCTATTAAACTCATCACCTTTCTCTTGCTTAAAGTAAAAACTTAGAGCATGCTGGAAAACTATTATTTTACAAATGAGTGTCAGGAGGCATCTATTTCCTTGCCCTTGTTTTGTTTCTGCCTGGGATATTTATATATGATCATTGTTCTCTTAATGGATCGAACTAATAAATAAGCATATGAAAGCTACAGTACCTGCAAATCTAGAGTAAAAGGGAGATATAAAATATATTGTCACATGATTTGTGATTTCCTTTCTGAAAGTATCACCAAGGAAGTCAGTTTGGCATATTGATTTATGGTTGAGGACTAGAGAATCCATTGGGAAACTGAGAGCCACCCAATTAATGCATCTTGGAAAAAGGAAGTCACAAAGTAAAACAGGGTGATGTAGAAAACCGCCTCTCCAGTGTGGACTTGGCTATCATTTTGAGACTAAAGTTTTATTCTCAGAAGATTATACTCAGGGGGGATTAGCCTCTGTCATTGCCATAATATATCAAGGTCAGAAAAGAATGTCTCTTAATTAATTTATGGAATTACACATGCTAGATCTTTGATGGCTGGACTTTGATTCTCATCAAAGACAAAACCTACAGGGCCCAAGTGGGGGTGCCTAATCAAGGCAAGGATGTAAATTGATTAAATTAATTTTTAATCAACAGAGCCAGAACACACAGAGCAAGTGTTTAATAGTTATTTGAATGCATGAAAAAGTGGAAAGAAATGAAAGGAAGAATGAAAATGGTGGTCTCCGTGGCCAAGATTCATCATGGTCTATGATTCTAGTCTAAAGCAAACATTTTATATTAAGACTTTAATGTGTGAATTCATTAAAGTTTGGGGGTCATACTCTCATTTACCACATATCTTAACTGGTAAAAGAATTTTAGGGATCATCCACTTAAGTTCTCACATTTTACAGAGGAAAAAGTTGAGGCTCAGAGAGCTTTGATGATCATCTAAGTTCATAACCATAATTAACAGCAGAACTAGGGTTAGAGCTGGAGTTTCCTGGCATTTTCTTCTGCACACAGTCTGATTTCCTATTAATATGAACCCAAAGGTCAAGACCAATAACATTCTGTTTATTGACTTTTCCTCCAATTCTATTTGCACAATGTATTAACCTATTTAATTTATATTTCAAATTGATCGTCTTCAGTATGCTAAGTTCTGTTGGGGGCACTGGGGACACAGCATTGAATGAGACAGCCATGGACTCGGCCCCCATCGGTTTTATAGTCTGGAAGTCAGGCACTAAATGACTAATTACAAGTGACAAGTCTTTGAAAGGGGGAGCTTTTCAGGGAAAGCATTACTTCTGTTTTCTGGCAACAAAATGGAATGCCCCAAGAAGCTCTTAGACAGATATGGGAGCAAAACTAGATTTAACTGGAATTTCTGATACTTTCAACAGGAAGAGTCCTGACCTGGTGCCCCAACTATACAAAACAACTGAGGGTTTGAGATGTGATAATGCATCTTCAGACCCCAGATAAGGCATCCCTGGTTTATACGGTTTGTAAATTGGGGAGATTCACCCCAGGGCTCAGCTCCTCCAGCACAAATGATTCATGTAACCCCCACAAAAATAATCTTGTAGATTTGTAGATCATGAATCCTAGCCCCTCTCCCTTTCCTGGTTTTTTTGTCCCCTTCAATAATCAGATTGAAGTTTTACAAAATCTAATCTGCATCAAAATCACCCAGATGATTCTGCTGTGACAGAGCTTGGGCCACACTTTGAGGACATTGATGTAAGTGCAAATAGATTTGATCACCTTATCTTTGCATAATTGCAGAAACATTGTTAGAATTTAGCAACCATTTCTGATAAAGTAATCTTCAGCTTCAACAGAGTTATTTCCAGGTCCCTCTGTGCAGACAGGAATTTATGAAGCTGGATCACTAAGTTTTTCATCTGCTTTTGAAAACAGGAAAGAGGTAGAGTTCTCTGCAACTTTGAGAGGAAGAGGAAAGTTGTTGGTACAGTGCCCACCCTGTGGGGACAAAGCCATTTGTCCTTCTTAAGGCTAAAAAGAAAGGAACTGAGAGGCAGATCACAAGGGGTGTTGACCCACAGACTTCAAACACTAATTGCAGCACCGTATCTAGTACCTGTGGGGCCTTGGTGGGGCCTGTTGTGAGTTGCTTTCCAGAAAGAAGTAAAATGGAGCTGCCCGGCTGGAGGAGCCTGCAGCTGTTAGAAGGTTTCTGAGAAGGTGAGAAACACTTGGGCCTCCCTAGAAAACTGTTATAGGAAGTCACCACTGAGGAAAGTTGCTGCCATGGTTGCTCAGTGCAAGGAATGGGGAACCACAGCTCAGAGCTTGAGAGAGCAGATACTGAGAGTGACCACGTGCTCAGCACATGACTGCTACTACTTGTTGGTGTGAAGGCATTAATGTGGAGAAGGCAGACAAACTCTTGCACCAGAGATCTTGTAGTCTGAAAGGAAAGAAGAGGTGTGTGCCCAGAAACACAGCACAACATGAGTGGGTACCAAATCAGGGGGACAGACAAAAGTGCTGTGTGAGAGTGGACGGGAAGGAGAGGCAACTGCAACCTGGAGAGCCCAGGCCTGTCTGTGGATGGGCAGGGGCACTGAGCTGCCAGAGGAGCAGAGGAAATGTCCATCAGAGTCTGACTGTGAAAGGCCTTGACTTCCAGACAGTGCCCACTGGTGACACCCTTGATGCCTGAGCAGGGGAGTATGGTGGACAGAGCTGGGTTCTAGGAGGATTAATTTGGTCATGAGTCTTCTTAATTTCTAAGAAATGGGATGGCTCTATACCTATGGCTTGGAAATCGAATGAAGATTCCTCTCCTAAAAAAAATGAAGAAAACACACGTGACCAAGTGCACTCTCAAGGATGAGTTTTAAAGTTCTGATTCTCAGAATACCTATTTAATGTCAGTATTTTTCTAAAGGACAGATGCATACACCCTTGACCCAGCAATCAACCCTTAGATATTTTAACTGCAGAAGTATATGGATAACATGGTATGCATGGATTGCTCCTTGCAACATCCTTGGAAATAGCAAAAGACCAGAAACAATCTAAGCGTCCAATAGGAAACTGATGGAATTAGTTGTATCTCCATACAATGAGACATTACGTCCTAAAACACTATGCTAAAAGAAATGGTGCAGAACAGTGTGTTAGGAAAAAAGAACTATATATATGCATATTTTATTTGCATTTTTAAAAACCCGGGGGATACAGAAAGAAAAAAAACCCACTAGAAAGTAATTATCTAAGGGAAGAGGGTGTAAACTTGAGGGAGGAGAGACAGGAGTGAGTATAGGTCTTTTCATTCTAATTCTTAATTATAGTTTAAATATGTGAGAGCATTTCAGAGTCAGCATTGAGTGTTTATCAAATGTGGGTGAGCAGAACACGTTCAGCAGGGGCTTCTGTAATTCATGAGGCTGGACGCTGACTCACGGCGCAACACAGAGGTTCCTGAAGGAGGAGGTTGAAGACCAGGAGCTTCGATACAGGCTGCTTACCAGCATTTACCTGCTCATATCTCCTCAGGAGAATCAAATTCCTCCTCTTTGCTATCAGGCAAAGATGATTATTCTGCAGCAGAACACCTGCTTCTCAAGGGAGGCTTTGGGAGAGGGAGCTGGGATGTGCTTCGTCACTGAGTTAGCATCGCCGTGATGTCCTGTGCCCTGTGCTCAGCTCTCCTGCAGAAAGGAGCAGATGGTCCTATGCTACTTGGTTCCCTGAGCTCAGTGGGCATCTGCCTACAGAGCAAATGGCTTCCGTTTCCTAACAAATCTTTTTTACATCAAACCTTCCCTAATGAAAGGGTGCCAGTTGTCATTAGTGTCGGTGTCGACGGTGCAGGCATTGGCTGCTTCTTCACCCCTTGCAGACACACCAGTGCCTCTGCCTTTTTTTCCTGTCAACTTTCTTCCAGCGGATCACCATAGATGCACACACAGTCTTGCTTCTGAAAGAAAGTACACCCTAGTGATTAAGAATACAGAATTTAGGGTAAGATAAATGTGGTTTGAAATCTGAGTTTGGCACTTACCAGCAAGGCCTTGAAAAGGTTACTTGATGTATCTAGTCCAGTTTCCTCACCTTAAAAATGAGGATGTTTTATAAAATAAAACAAAATAGTTTTTAAGTATTAGCCCCATACCTGGCACACAGAAAAGACTCAGTAAGTGTGTTGTTGATGTATGTTTACCTTCATCTCCTGCTTGTGGAACTTCTGGTACAGAATAATGTGGAAGCTTTTGATAGAAAATGTATTGAACAGCCCTTATTGGCTTGCTTTGGTCAGTTGCAATAAAGAGATGTAGAATCTCCTCCAAGTGTTCCATGGAAACATCTTCTTTCCTTTTACTGAAATAATCTACCTGAAACCAAGAGGTGATATAGCCTTCACATATTTCTGAATATGCTCCCAATTTCAACTATGCATTTGTGTACATATGTAGTCAGAGTGGCTCACAGTCATTTAAGCTGCTTTAGGTTCCTTTGCTGTAAATTCTTCCTCTAATTAGGCTCGTAATTGCAGAGCAAGGACAAACTGATTCAGCCCAAACAACCTCTACTGGGAGGATGGTCACAAGACACATTCAGCGCCTCTTTTTATTCTCCATACACGCTCACAGCAGACCAGCCACCGCCAGCAAAAAGCAAAAGCTCACTGCGGCACACAGGGCCCTCTGGTGTGGCTCCGAGAAGGAGGCTGCTGCTCCATTCGGGTGCACAGCTTTCTTGCTCCTGAACCTTTTGGTGACAAAGAGCACAGACAGACTCTGAGAGGAGAGATGCTGGGCTCTGGGGAGGTCGTCTAGCCTGTCCTCTCCCAGGTCTCTCCAGTCAAGCTGGGCCTCTGCAGGGCATCTTCTCCTTGCCCACCTACCTTCCCACCTTTCTGTCCCTACTCCCTCCCCACTTTCCTTTCTTGTTTCCTTCCTTCCCTAATAAAAATAAATAAACCTTAGAGTAGTTACTACTACCATACCCATTTTAAAGGCTTAATTTTTCTTTTAAAGATGAGACAACTTGGTCTGAAAGACATTGAGCAACTTAACCAATGATGATTCAGATAATGGTGAGCTGGGATTGGGATGCGAAGAAGGTGGGTCTGACTCTAGAACCCATGCTCTCAGCCACCGTGCTTTACTGCCACCCCATTTTGAAAGGTGGTCATGGGCTAATTGCCTTGCAGAACTTGAGAGGAGCACATCATTGGGCATTTTCCTTCTCTGTCCTGTTTCACTGGCACACAGAGAAACCTGATTGCTTGGGCCATTCACGATTGGAACTGGAATACTGCAGAGCAAACTTAACAATGGGCCAAGATTATTCTGAAGTCCTAGCAATTCATGGACCATCCAATTCAAAGCTATCCTGACTATAATAACTGCTTCTTTCCAGGGTATCATTCAGTATTTGAAGTAGAGTTCAGGGGCAAAGTGTTCCATGGAAAAGCAACATTATATCTGCAGGGGGAAAAAGGATCTCCTCTTGCCTGTAATTCTAATACATCTTCTGAGGACCCTAATTTTGACACAGGGCTTCCCCATTAACTATATAAATTGAATTAATGACTTGATTTCTGCGGAGAACAGAAAGTACTTAAGGAACTACTTCAGCCAGATGACATTATATTAATAGTAATAAGGGGTGGAATTATAACTATTTACATGGCCTTTTCTTTGCAGAGTATTTGATAGCTTTCTTGCACAAATATTATAATCCTAATGGTCATTTTGTGCTCTCCCATTTGTCATGCTTGTATGTTTTTGCAGCATTTAAACATTTGTGCTACTAAATAAAACTAATGCTCAGGAAAGCCTGCAGCTACCTGCCCTGTGTGGTTTGGGGCTTCATCTATTCATACACTTGCCCTCCTGGCTGAGGGCATTCTTGACCATCCAAGGCTTCTGCAGGCAGTTTGGGGTCATGAGCCCTAGAACCTTCTGTTAGTTAAGACTTTATTGATACCCCATGTGTCTGTCTCATTGAAGGATCCTCTGCTTAGGCAGCGTCTCTGTTTCTCACTACAAATTCTTTTCTTGGACTTGTTTCCAGAGTCACTCAATGACTTTAAACAGAGTTAGTTTTCAGCAACTTCCAGCTGTGGGTTTATATGGGATGATGCAGAGTAAACTCTAATTTGCTACAGACAGTATTTTCCCCCCACACTCCACTATAAGTCTGTTTCTGAAGCCACTGTTTCCTTTTTTATAAGTTACATGATGATTATGAGGATGGTGATGGTGACGATGATAATTTTAAAAGAACTTACTGAGTACTTAGATGGCCAGAGGTGAGAATGCAGGGAGCACTGAAGTAAAAATTGGAGAATTTCCCTTGCCTCAGACTTATATTTCTTAGGGAGAAAAATTGGGTCTGCTTGTCAGATGCTACCTCATTATCATCAACACGTGGTGCTCTAGCAACCCCCACAAGCCTTAGCTTGTGTATTACTTAGCTTGAGTACTTAGCTAAGTATTTCATTTACACATTCACATTGACTTCTTACAAGAGCCCGATGAGTTAGTTACTATTATTGTTATTATTATTATTATTATTATTTCCATTTCACAGCGGCAGGAACTGAGGCCTTGCCAGGCAGAGCTCCACCTTATATTCACACCTCGGTCACCTGACCCTATCCCAGGTGCTCATAACCATGTGCCACCCTCGTCTGCTCCAGATCTCTTGAGTCTTGTGAGCTGAGGGAATTTTGTGCTGCTTTTTAAAAACTGTCATCTGCAGTTTTAGTTCCATATATGGTTTGTCTAGGAAACCTCTGTGTCCTCAAGTGTTCTTGGTGCTGAAAGCCAGTCGTCGGAATTACTCTCAGCCCCTTGTGCTCCTCTGCCTTCCCTCTCCTCTTCTGTATCTGTTTTCCCGTGTAGGATGAGAGCCTGCGTCTCAGCCCTGTGGTCCTCCTTTTAGAATGGACTCGAACTTTCTCCCAGTGTGATCTAGCCGCTCCTGCCCTGTGCCCTCAGAGCAGAGCGGTGGGCTTGTGGGGGTTGCTAGAGCACCACGTGTTGATGATAATGAGGTAGCATCTGACAAGCAGACCCAATTTTTCTCCCTAAGAAATATAAGTCTGAGGCAAGGGAAATTCTCCAATTTTTACTTCAGTGCTCCCTGCATTCTCACCTCTGGCCCCCATGCCCTCATTTCACTCCTCTCAGGTAGGAAACTGACTGGGGATACTGAGTCACATTGGGTGTTGGTAACATGATGTGGTACCTCTGTCAGGTGGCACTAAAACATGACTGGGTGTGGAGGATTTAAGCCAAAAGAATGTTTGTCACATGTTAGAATTTTAAGGCTAAGCAATAACAGTTAACAGGTATCACATTCTTACTTAGTTCCAGGCATGACACCAAATTCTTCCCATATGATCTCATTTTATATCAGCCTCATACAGCAGATCATTGACCCTGTTTTACTAATGGAGAAATGGCAAATAACTTGCCTCATGGAGGAAGTTCAAACTCTGGTCTGTTTCATTCTAATATCATATCTAACCTCTGTGGTGCAACTAGTTAGAGGACCCAGGTATGGCAGGAGAGCCTTCCTGTGATGGTCAGCCAGAGGTGCTGCCCACCCCGGCTGCACACAGGCTGATCCTGACAAAGAGTTAGCTGGGATCCCCCCTCACTCCCACAGCAATGACCTTCCCACCCATCTGTGGTAGGAATTGACCAAGTGGCAGATAGGGACAGCGAGCATGATTCCTGGACCCTAGTTGAGGACAAGCCAGGGAATGTCAGACCTAGCACTCCTTTGGATGGAAATTAACCTCTTTCCTTCTTTCTCCCTCAGTAGGAGAGGAGCAGAGGATCCCACCCATGTAAGAGCTAGGACCCATTTATCGAGTACCTACTGGATGCACACCTTGTGTTCTGCTCTTTCAGACTGATCTCACAGAGAGCTCATTCCTCTTTTCCTTCATAGGGATCTGTTGACATGGAAACAAGCCATAGAGAATTCATTTGATGTGGCTTTCGCATAGCTTTTGCATGCAATCTCTTCACCATACAAGATAGGGCATTGTGTTAGGTAGCTGTGTGATGGTTAGTGTGATGGACCAACTTTGGCTGAAGTGTAGTATTGGTTATTTAACTAAACACTATTAGGTATTGCTCTGAAGGTATTTTGTGGTTAACGTTTACTATATCAATTGGTTTTAAGCAGAAGAAATTACCCTCAATAATGCAGGTGGGCCTCATTCCATCAGCAGAAGGCCTTAAAAACAAAACCAAGGTTTCCCAGAAAAGAAATTCTGCCGCATCAACTGCAACATCAATTCTCACCCGTTTGCAGCCTACCAGCCTTCCCTACAAACTTTAGCTTCCACAACCACATGGCTTGGAATTGTACTTCTACTCCCATTGAAAGGTTAAAAGGTACACAGTCTGGGTTAGGCAGAGACGGGTAAGATTCCTCAAGGGAGGAACAACCTAAGACAGGCACAGTCGCAGGGGGGCCATCAGGTGAGAATTTGGGGATCAACAGAGGTGAGGCTCAGAACCTCAACCCCCTGCTTTGAGAGAAATCTTCTGCATCCGTGGATGTCTTGCTGCCCTTGTCTAGCCTGGATTAATACTTAGTCCATAGGCACACACCTGATCATCTGATCATCTACATTTGCCTTCTTACAGCACTAAACTATGTTTTCTACCTTTATCTTGCATCTACCTACCACTTCAGCATTTTATTAAAAATAAAAATAATAATAATAATAGGAGAAATGTGGGATCAACATATAAATCAAGTACAAAAATCAAACGAATATTCATATTTGACCTGATTGTTTATAGGTCATAATGCATGATCAAAACCGAAAGTTTCTGTGATGAATGCCCTTGTACTGTTCACCATGTAAGAATTTATTCACTATGTAAGAATTCGTTCACCATGTAAGAACTTGTTCGTTATGCTTCAGAAGATTGGAGACTGACGAGAATTAGGCTTGAGATGGATTAATGATTGTGCATTGAGCATTGACCCCTCTATACAGAATTTTATTGTTGTTAACAACCATTTGATCAATAAATATGAGAGATGCCCTCTCAAAAAAAAAAAAAAAGGTACACAGTCTGGCTGAGCAGTTGCCCCAGCTTCATATCACTCTGACGTTGTACAGCATGGGCACCTCAAAGAGGAGAGGGGACTGCACCCCATTCCTAGTGCAGATGAGATGTGCAAAATCCCCTTGCTGTCCTGCACAGTGAGCACCAGCTGAGGAGGACAATGCCAGCTGGGGAGGTCTGTGCCTTCTTTAGAGCCTCCATCTCAGGGCCTCAGACTTTTGTAGCATCAAGTGAAATTTAATCAGTTTCTCTCTGGATTTAAAGTCCATCAGTTCCTG